TCCATGGCAGAGCTTGATCTTGATGTACACATCCTTCTTTTACATGTTCATGAACCAAATTCATATGCTAAGAAGTTTAAAGCTTTTGGAAAATGTGGCCTGAAGTGACCTACTCCTGAGTTCCATGGCAGAGCTTGATCTTGATGTACACATCCTTCTTTTACATGTTCATGAACCAAATTCATATGCTAAGAAGTTTAAAGCTTTTGGAAAATGTGGCCTGAAGTGACTTACAGGACTACACAAGAACTCAGCCAGTTTTTTCCTAAGGCCAAACTGATGAGTCATGGTGGATCTGCAGTGTGGTCCAGTACAGACTTTTTGACTTGAGAACCGCCTTCCAATACGGATTAGGTTCTCAAGTCAAGACCCCACTGTACACAAGAACTCATCCAGGTTTTTCGTAAGGCCAAACTGATGAGTTATGGTGGATCTGCAGCAGTCAGTGGTCCAGATTCCAAACAATGGGAGAGTTTCTACATTGTTCTCTGTTTATTTACAAGTAGGGGGCAGCACAGTTTAGATCAAACCATGCTTCATAATCTTCTTAGAAATAAAGATTGATGAGGTTGTTTATGGTTACATATAGCCTATGTCACCAGAGAGCCTCTTCAATCACCTAAGAACAAAGGTTAAGAACCACTGGTTTATGGTTATATATAGCCTATATCACCAGAGAGCCTCTTCAATCACCTAAGGAACTAACCACAAGGAATTGTATCCATGTGGTGTGAGACAATGAAAAGAGAAACATGGCCAGTATTACACTGGATCATTTGTAAAATTTTGCTAGTGAATTATCTACTTCAACAAAACACAGAAGACAACAAGAATGTTTCAGGGGAGGAGTTAGCCCAATGCTGAGTCAATCAGTCAGTCAGACAGACAGATGCTTTTGCTTTCCATGTGTTTAGTAGGACCTATGGGGAACAGCAAGTAGGGACAAGGAGTGGGTGACACATACTGGCTCTACCCCAATCTCCCTTAGCCTCACCAGCTGCCACATTTCCTGAACTTGCAACATGATGCATAACCTTTTCACAGGGTAGAACATTAGAAAGGCTGATCTGCATCAGTGCAGGTGAGTATAATTCACAGAAATAATAGCTGAAATCCAGTAGTAAGATGCAACTAGAGTAGGTCTGTTGACTCAGTGGAACTTATATAGGTGTTGACTCACCAAATCCCTACTGACTGCATGGGCCTACTTTAGTTGTCCTACTAAATCTCACTGAATATGTGCCACTGCATCACTGTGAATCTATTTATGTACGTTAAGGTAAATTTCAAATGAAAGTGAGGGCAAGCAAGTGGTGGCCACCCAAAATCAAACAACGAAGTCTGAACAGTGGTTCTTCTTATGTTCAACTGAACCCGAGTAGAACACTCTAAGTGACCAGGACCCATTGATTTATGCATGGATCATACTGCATATACTGTACTGTATTCAGTTGATCTTGCTGGTCAGGGAATGAAAGAGCCAGGCCAGGATGCAAACAGGCAGAATTAATACCCCCTATTCAGTTCTTACATATTTGTCTGAAAACTCATCATGGAATGGCTTCAGGCTCTGCCTTTTAAGAAAGGAAGGGCTTTGTTTCAGTGAGGGCCTCTCTGCCCAATTTGAGTGATCTGCTCTCCACTCAACACACTGCTTGCCCCATTCCACAGGGTCTCTGGATTCCACATAAAACTTTTAGGAGGCTGGAAGGCCTGCTTTGTAGAGGAACTTTTCTACCAAGCCAGCCATGTATGCCTAAATCTGGGATCAATCCTCATTGAGGAAGCAAACTGGTAAATACTTTCCCAAATACAGAATACTGGTGACTGATAACATTTCACCTCCACACTAGAAATCCTTTTCTCAGTTATTCACAACTAAACTTCAGCCAAGCCCAGCCCAAGACATTTTGATGTCTGAGACATTACAGTAAATAATACCCCACTGCACATCAAGGTGCACAGCATTATGCTGGGCCAGTCATATTAATGTGGTATCTGAAGCAGAAAAATTTACAAATGCATGTAAAAAATACAATAGCAGTAAAAATACAATAATAATAAATTAAACAACCATCAACTTGCAATTCATGACACCCCAAATCAGCTGCCTAAGTCATCTGCCCCACTCACTCCAATGGAAGGGATGGCTGTGACTTCAGCTACTATCCATATCCAAACTGAATATCATACCACTGACTTTCATCACCTTCCACATCCAACCAACTAGAACCACATAGCCATGCTGCCACTGCAAGCCAAACAATACATTGAAATGTGAATATAGAACGCATGTCAACACAGGTTTGTACAGCGTAGATCTCCCCAACAGCAACTTCTAATTCGTTTCTCATCCAATTCAGTATGTGACATAGTAAAGGATAAACCTCATTCAGCTTTCTAATAAACAAGTGTGTGAGATGCTCATATACATTCAAGCACACGTTCTTGCACTAGCTGATCAAGTTATGGCCTATTCTTAGCTCCATGGCATCACAGAAAATACTCTGTCTCCAGCTATAGAAGTAAATAAGCAACCTCTGCCTTCCCTCACTTTCATACCTAGTATTACTGAAATTGCATTTAAGTTTGATGAATTGAAGACTGATTCAACTGGAAGCAGCATCCTTTATGCCACATACCTAATATGTATAGCTCCTTGGCAGGTTTTGACACTTGAAACACACAAGACGACGTAGCATATACAGGTACATACATGACTAATAAAGCCGTAGCACTGATACTATATATGCTTCCAACTGCATAAATATTATTGTGGCAGTTATATTTATAGGATGAATAAAATATTTTATGAGATTTTATTAAGAGATACAAGTGAAATATATTGAAATATCTCCCTGCATCACTCTTGTGCTGATACTATTCCATACCTGTGCTATGTCTTTAACTTTTCTTTTCTTTTTTCATTTTGTAAAAATAAATAATAAATTCATGGGTAAGCTGAAGATATGAAGGAAAATTAGTTGCTTCATATGCATATGGTCTTCTATGTGTTCGTCTTCCATTAATTTTGGCTCATAAGTTGATATCTAAATTCTTTTCTTCTTTGAATTCTGTTCCAAGGAAAACTACAAAAGGGGTTTGCCTGAATTACAAAATGATTTTCCCCCGCTCAAGACTGAGCACATATATAACAAATGATGCAGCACATGCTTTTATTTAATCTCATCTGCATATGTTATATGATCTTGAAAAACAAATCATAAAGTTTATTAATGTATAAAATAATTAGCACAAAACTAGAGTGCACCAGCCCCATTATTGTGATATTTCACTTCACTTTAGTTTTAAGCAGTAATAAATTCTGTGTGATGTTCCCAATGAAAAACTGCAAAGAAAATAGCACCCCATTAAGTTTTGTAGAAGTGCTGCATCCATAAAACCATATGGATAAATTCTGCCTGATCAGAACTGTTTCTTCTAAATATCATTTTACTTCCATTGCTATTATTTTAGATATTACCTACAATATCTACCTGCAAGATTCATTCCCAATTCTGTCATTCAAAAGGTAAAGCTGTCCCTATATTTTACTAAAGACTGAGTGGCATGTTAAGCAGATATATATACATAGAATTTTCAATATAATATTAAATCATCATCATCATTCCTTTAAAAATGCAGAGTTGGACTGGACCCTACACATAATCAAGTCCAGCCCCTGTCAAGGAGCCACAATGGAGAATCAAATTCCTAACTCCTGGCTCTGCAGCCAGAGACCTAAACCACTGAGTTATCTAGCAGTTCATAAACCAATTGGAACAAGTTAATTATTATTTTTCCACTTTAGCTGCAGAAGATTCTAATTCAAAGCTCACAAATAATGAAGAAAGAGAAAAGAAAAAGTGAATTGACTTTTAAAGTAACCATAGTTTATACAAAGCAGCAGGATTTTCTTTTTATTATGAAAAACGTATACAAACAATATTAAATAGCAAGACAAAGTTTAGAAGTTCCAAATGCTCTAGGTATATCATTCAGTTGCCACCTCTACAAAAGTCCCTGTAGATTTCACTTTCAGATTTTTTTTCCAGACAGATTTTGGGGTGCTTCGTTGGTGTCTGTCTATGTCCTTCCTTCCTACCTTCCATTTTTAACCAGATATGCACTAGCTGGATATTTTTGCAATTATTATTGTTATTTATTATTCCATAGCATCCCTCACTGTTCCTTCTGAAGTTGCACTTAGTCCCTTCCAGTGTTTTCCCTCTTTAAAAGGATTCTATGCCTGCAGAATGCCAGAAGCAACGTGACTTAAATCTTTCATTTCTCTACTGGGATTTTCTGCTAGGAAGCTGCAATTGATTTTCAAGGGGGCGTTCTGCCTTGGCATTTATTATCTAGTTAAGGGTCAGCCTACTGTGGAAGGGAAATCAAAGAAAATAGGGTTGAAGTCGGAGGACAGGAACAAGAGGGATTTATTTCGAGCCTGAACGGTGACAGAACTCAAAGGTGGGGGAAAGAAGTTAGGAAATTCCACCACTAATTAGTTTGGCCTCTCTCTCTCTCTCTCTCTTTCTCCATCTTTAACAGATGTTGAAGCCCAGTGGCCACAGGCATCCTGGCCTGTCAATCATCATATTTAAAAGAATTGCTGTCCAATGAAGTCTGGCCCCTGTATTAATGAGAGCAAGCTAAGGCAGAGTCAATTAAATCAAATTCCCACCCACCTCCCTAGTCTATCTGCAGTGTGAAGCAGCAGCAGCAGGACTGGCACCGCCAACGGCATACCCAGTATTAATAAAGGATTTCAGTGCTGCATTCAAGGGAAGGGAAGGGGAAGGAGGGGGAGGGGGGAACAACTGCTGAGTGAAATTTGCATGGTTTAGAACTGGAGAGACATACACGGCTGGACCTGCACTTGAATGAAGGCAAGGGGCTCCACTCTGCAACCAAAAAGGCAATCCATTTTAAAATCCCACCTGCAATTACAAAGTGACACTGAGGGGGGTTTAAAAAACAAATAGGAATGACCAAGCTTTGAAAACATTTTCACTTTAATACTGAAAAAATATGCCATTATAAAATCCTCAGATAGAATTAGTAAGTCTCGCTTGTGTTTTGTTTTGTTTTTCTCCCTCAGCTCAGATTTTCCTCCAGGTCATTTTTTTGTTTAAAGAGTGTGATTTACAAGAGCACAAAAAATCTTCTCCCATTCAACTTCGAAGCTGAAGCACTCAGGTGATGTTAACTGATCCTGCTTAGCTGCTTCTGACTTTTTGTGGCGGCAGCAGTGATGTTTGTTCCTTTAACAAAAAAAGCCCCAAACAAATATGTAACACTTTTTATCACCAGAGAAAATGCCATGGGTATTTGTGTTTTCGGTTTTACATTCAGATGGGAAGGCATTATCGGAGATGTTGACTTCCAATGGAAACTCAAAAATAACCAGAAGCAAATTGGCTCCCTCCCCCCCTCCCCCAACAGAGAGAAAATTGGCCCAACAAAGAAATTTTCTGCAACCCCAAATGCAAAAACCTAAACCCATGAGAGTATAGCCATGCAAACATGTCTTAAATAAAATCTTTACATTTTTTCCTTGTTTGTTTCACAGTAAAAGGACGATCTCTACTGCCTAGCAATCACACAAAAATAATGGCAAAATGGCACTTTTTAAAAAATTCTTATTATACTGTATTTTGGATATAGAAAGTTTGATACGATGGAACTTATCAGGTAAGAGGGAGGAAGAGGTGAACTGGACGCTGCTTCCATTTTGGGTCCGAAGCGTCCCTGGGTGGTTTTGTATCCATGCGAACCATGCAGCAACTTGGGTTGGTTTGTTCTAGATCAGAGTCATATATTTACAATACATTCATGCCTTCGTGCAACTGGATAACTTCTGCTTTGTTCACAATGGGGAGAGCACAAGGGGAACCCCTTGTTTCCCCATCACACACAGGGCCACTAAATCCTCATGATTGTGGGCCATCCTGTAGAAGACTGCCTTTCTTCCCTGTTCTTTCTCTCCCTCTCTCTCTCTCTCTCTCTCTCTCTCTCTTTCTCACCCCCAAGTTGAGCCATCCTGGGCTTTTCCTAGAACCTTTCCTTCTTTCTCACTTGTTATGCACAGTTACACCAAGCAGAGCCTCAGATTAGGACTAGGCAAAAAAAAGGGGAAAAAAAAGATAGGGGAAGGCAAGCCTCCACTCACAGCTGTTGGGCCCAGTTTTGTGAGTGGGTAGGACATTTTCCACCAGAAGGTAGCTTTAGGAGATTAAGCCCCATCCCTTCTCAGGGTCTATTCACATCTGCAGACGAGACAGCAATGCACAGGTCAGGGAAAAAGGACCACTGAAGAGAAATTGAGGTTGCTAGCTGCTGAAGTTGAACTGATTGCCCATATATGCTTTTAAATTTGTAATTATTCTTATTTTTAGTTTTTTTGTAGTTTCCCACTCTCGGGTCTCAGTCTGATAGGGAGTGAGAGCCACAGTCATACACTCTATGGGCACCATCTGTATTGTAAGGTCCATTGTGCCAGTAGGAGGAGTCGCAGACTGTCTGTAAGGAGTTGATTTCAGAGGCAGAGGAATTGGCATCCCTCCTCTTGGAGCGCTTCCGATTCCTCAAGATGAAGACCAGCATGCCAACCACCGTGAAGGCAGAGGTGACAAAAACTAACAAAAGGCCAGGCACCAGCACTGAGATGGAGACCCTGCTGGTCTCTAGATAGGAGTTGGAGTGAGTCCCAGTCTCAGCCAAGCCGGTGCTGTTCTTATGGGTGGAAGTCAAGGTGGGCAGGACTTTGAGTTGAGGGCAAATGGCCTCATTGGAGAGAGATTCAAAGTCCTCCTTGAAGAATTCCTCTGGAGTCTCACATCTCAGGTCACTCATCATCACCTTGGGCCTCAGCATCTCTACCCACTGTTTGAAAGGGACAATGGGGCACTTGCAGTCCCAAGGATTGTCATGCAGATCTATTTGGGTGATGGAGGTGAGTTGGTCCAGCACACCTGCCACCGGCAGGTACAGGAAATAGTTGTTGTGGATGCTGAGTTTGGAGAGTGAAACCCCAGCAAAGACATCTACAGGGAGGGACCTTAGAAGGTTGTTATTCAAGATGAGGACCCTCAGTTTAGGCATGGCATTAAATGTCCCTGGCATGATGAGCTGGATGACATTAAATTCCACATTTAGGTATTCAAGATTTTGCAAGCCATTGAATTTCTCCCGTGACAGAATGTCCAAATAGTTATTGTCCATGTATAGCCATACCAACTCCAAAAGGTTCTTGAAGGTATTGTTCTCCATGGTGGCAATATTGTTGTTGCCCAAATCCAACAGGTTCAGTTTCCGGTAATCCACAAAATGCGACTTCCGAATGGTGTGGATCTTGTTCCCTCTCAAGAAGAGCTCATGAACATTGGATGGCTTGGGTTTCAGGTCCACTAGGCTGCTGACGTTGCCTTCGTTGCAGTTCACCTTGAATCCTCCAGGGATCTGGTGGCAGGTGCAGGTGGCAGGACAAGGTGTACTGCTTGAAGACTTGCCTTTCACACTCAAGGTTGATCCAGCAATAGTGGGTCTGGTCTTGATTTGCCAGTTGACAGGGATCTTCGTACCCCCATGAGGAGCAGACCCCGGGGTGGCAGGATCTTCCTTCCCATGGATCTTAAAAGGGGTCGGAATAGGGCCAGGATCGCAGGTTTCCTCCTCTGCAGGGGGAGCAGCTAAGCTCGAATCCACCCGGTTCTTCCTGCACAGTTCTTGCTCGGTGGTTTCATTTAAATCCTTGCCCTGCAGCCTGGTGGGGGCTTCACAAATCACCCGGCCGATCAGAGCGTTCTTGGGGATATTTTCCAGCCATTCCTTCAAGGAGAGCAGGTCGCACGTACAGTCCCAAGGGTTATCTTCCAGCAGGATCTCAGCAATGCCCGGGATCTGCTCCAGCACGTCCTCGTAAGGCAAGGTTTTCAGGCGATTGCCCCTCAGGTCCAGATGGGTGATGGGCACGTACTGGAACACATTGGCCGGCAAGATGCTGATGAGATTGTCGTTTAAAATCAGCACCTCCAGCTTGTTCAAGTCCCGAAAGGCCCCTGGGTCAATATCCCGCAATAAATTAAAATCGGCCTGGAGGTATTCCAGATCGTCCAGCCCCAAGAAGGTCTGCTTGCGAAAGGATTTGATCTTGTTGTTGTTGATGTGAAGCCGCTTCACCAGCTGCAGCCCCAGAAAAGCCCCCGGCACGATTTCATGCAAGCCGTTGTTTTCCATGTGCAAGCTGACGGCATTGTAAAAGTTGGCGAACTCATTGGGGAAAAGGCGAGTGAGGGAATTGCCGTGCAGGAACAAATGGTAGAACTGGGACGTGGGGGCCGAGAACCGCTGGAGGCTGGTGAAGCCTTTCTTCTCGCAGTCGACATGCAGGTCGCCTTCAACCTCAGTGCAGGAGCAGATCTTCTCTTTACAAACGTCCCCGGTCACATTCCCGGCAGCCAGACAAAGAGACGTCTCCAGCAAGAGGATCCAAAGCAGCATTTTTACACCCAGCGAGTCATCCCAGAACTGGAGCACAGAG